TCAATTCCTGATGGTGACAGATCACACATGCATCCAGCTTTCACAAGGTAATGTGTGTGAAGCAGTCTTAGTTTGTTCTGCCAACCCAATAATAAATTCTGGATGTGACAAAAAATATTCCACCTGCATTCCCAAAATGCTGTCAACACGCAACAGACTCTGCCAGGAGCTTCCCTCCAGCTTTGTCAGCCATTTCAACACACAACAGGCTGGCATTTTTGCTTCCTTTAGAAAAGGTACCAAATACAGTGACACACAAGCATAGATTAGCAAAGAGGTTCCTGCAATTGACAGTCTCCTGCTGGAAAGTCACCTTTTCAAGTGTCGAGGTAGTGTTTAGATACCAATTTACCATGGAAAGAACAGCACATGATCAATAGCACAGAAACTCTTCAAAGACCAGATTAGTAGGCTGTGATCTTTTTCCGTGTTGGGAAAAGAAACCATGATAGTTGGCTAGCTCCCTGAACTATTATTAGTTACCTTTTGGCTGAAAGCAGATGAGGGATCTTTTGTGATGGGTATCACAACAAGTTAAAAGCAATGGATAAGCTAAACTCCAGTCAATCAGAAGAAGGAATCACTAGAAGACAGGTTGACCACCCTACACCTGCCTCCTGGGACTAGATTAGACTGACTCATGTCAAAACAGATCATGATCCAAATGGATAGCAATGACAAACTAACCCAGATTGTTGAGATGAATGTAACCCTTGCCCATGGAATTAGCCCCTTCTTCCTTTAGCTTTGCTCATCCAAGGTCTATCTCCTGTCTGTTTCTAGCTTTGTACCACCATGCTAGCTGTCACTGCCTTCCAGACAGTTAGGCAATATGGGAAAGAGATTATCCTTAAATAGCTACACCACATTTATCCCAACATACAGTAACTCCTCACTTAACGTTGTAGTTATGTTCCTGAAAAATGCAACTTTAAGCGAAACGATGCTAAACGAATCCAATTTCCCCATAAGAGTTAATGTAAATGAGGGGGTTAGGTTCCAGGGAAATTTTTTTCACCAGACAAAAGACTGTATACACACTGTATATATATATATATATATATATATATATATATATATATATATACACACACACACACACACATATACATACACACAGAGTGTATATACACCTCTACCCTGATATAACGCTGTCCTCGGGAGCCAAAAAAATCTTACCGCGTTATAGGTGAAACCGCATTATATCAAACTTGCTTTGATCCGCCGGTGCGCGTAGCCCTGCCCCCCCGGAGCGCTGCTTTACCGTGTTATATCCGAATTCATGTTATATTGGGTCACATTATATCGAGGTAGAGGTGTATATACACACACACACACACACACACACACACACACACAGTATAAGTTTTAAACAAACAATTTAATACTGGTACACAGTGATGATGATTGTGAAGCCTGGTTGAGGTGGAGGAGTCAGAGGTTGGGATATTTTCCAGGGAATGCCTTACTGCTAAATGATGAACTAGCATTTGGCTGAGCCTTCAAGGGTTAACTCGTTGTTAATGTAGCCTCACTCTACAAGGCAGCAGGCATGGAGGGAGGGGAGAGAGCATAGCAGACAGAGACAGACACACACACCCTGTGTGTGACAGAGAGATGCGCATTTCCCCTTTAAGTAGCTGATCCCGGTCTTAAGTACACTGTCTTGTTAATTAGATCAGCTTGCTGAGACCACAGCTGTTGCCTGGAAGCTCCCTCCGTCCTGAATCCTGTCATGTGTCCCCCCTGCTCTATGGAAATGGGATAAGTGGGGTGCAGGAGCAGGGGGAGGGGGACACCCTGAGATTAGCCCCCCCATACAGCAAGCAGGAGTCTGTGGGAGCAGCTCCAAGGCAGAGGGAAGGAGCAGCACATGGCAGTGGGGGGAGGGACAGCTGAATGCCGGCAACTGCTAGCCTGCTGGGCAGCTGCAGCACAGGGAACTTAGGGGAGCGAGGAGCTGATAGTGGGGATGCCAGTCCACCCTGATTCCAAGCCCCCACCAGCTAGCTCCAACGGGCTGCTCTTCCTGCAAGCAGTGGACAAAGCAGGCAGCTGCCAAAGACGTTAGAAGGGAGCATTGCACAACTTTAAACGAGCATGTTCCCTAATTGATCAGCAACTTAACAACATTAACTGGGACAATTTTAAGAGAGGAGTTACTGTACCTAGTATTTCAGTTGGGTTTCCAACACAGCTCATCAATACACTAATTTACAGCTTAAAACATCTACACTGTTCTAGTCTGGGCTTCTTAATGAGTGGCAACTCAGTTGTGCTATACTGTAACAAAAGATATGGTTGTTTTGACTTGTGGGAAGATGCATAGCAGAGACTAAAGGACACATTTTAATAGCCCCGCCTCCCTTTTCACAGCACAATTTGTTTCCACCAAAAACCCCACACCCAGATTTTTGGTACCTGTACTTTATGGCAGGTGCAAATCTTAGTAGTTACATGCCTACCCAACAGCAGGTGCCAATCAAGTAGCTAGGGTTACCATACGTCCGGATTTTCCCAGACATGTCCGGCTTTTTGGTCCTCAAATCCCCGTCCAGGAGGAAATTCCAAAAAGCCGGACATGTCCGGGAAAATAGAGAGGGGTCGTGGGACTTGGGTCCGGGCTGGGGCCGCTGGGGCCAGAGCCGCTGGTGCTCGGCCACCGGCCGGCACCGCTCAGCCAGGGCCGGGGCTGGAGCCGCTCTGCCGGAACTGGGACCCGAGCCAAGCTGGGCCGGAGCCGTTGGGACCGGGGCTGGGGGTGCTCAGCCGCCGGCCGGCGCCCAAGCTGAGCTGGAGTCGCTAGGGCCAGGGCTGGAGCCGCCGGGGCCGGCCACCAGAGGGAGCCACTCGGCCGGGGGGGCGGCCAGACTGGGCCTCGCCTCCTCGCTTCCCCCCCCCACCTCCCCCCGCCACCGCCCCAGCTTACCTGCTGCCTGCCTGTTTCAGGTTTCCCGCGAACATTTGATTCGCAGGAAGCAGGGGAGGGGGAGGAGCAGGGGGTGGAGCGTTCGGGGAGGGGGCGGAGTTGGGGCGGGGCCCCGTGGAGTGTCCTTTTGTTTTATTAAAATATGGTAACCCTAAAGTAGACGTATGTAATAACCAAATTCTGCAACCAAAATGTGCAGGCACAAAATGTCCAAGCTCAGCTGAAAATTTATTCCCAAGGGTCTGGCTATACTGCAAGTGAACGCGTGATTGGTCACAGGTATACCTACCTAGCTTTAATCTAGCTAGCATGGGTAACAACAACGTACATGTGTTGGCACGGACAAGCAACCAGAATACATACCCAGGGACTCTGCAGGACTCCGGCTGCTAACCCATGCCTAAACCCATGACACTACATGTACTCTGCTACTGTTACCCATGGTAGCTAGATTAAAGCTAGCATAGCTCTGCCTACCTTCACTTGTAAGTGTGGACATATTCTAAGACTAGGACAACCAAGTTGTCATGTGTTACATAAACTAGACTTGATTCCATCTGTAGCTGTGAAAAACTGGTAGATTAGTCCAGTATCTCAGCTAAATTAATGAGTTTTTATTTCAGTTCTTTGCATGTACTTAAAACACTCCTTAAAGGTGTCCATTTATCAATCCTGGAAATGCAGCCCTCTAGATACAGAGCATATACATCACACTAATAACGACAGGTCAACTTCCCCCACATTATCCCACCAATGTGCCTCAGCCTTTTACAGCGGGACCACTTATGGGGATAAGCAGAGTTCAGTCGACGGGTACATTAGTTCTTGGAATCTCCATAGGGACTGAGCAGTGATTTGTGATAAGGCCACTGTCCACCAGGGCCTGGACCAAAACACAGTAAGCAATCATCAGACAGTAAGAGCTTTCAGTCACTACTGATTAAGGCTGGATTTGACTTGGCAATCTAGAGATGAAAAGCTTTATATCATTCCCAATTCCCTGAGCAATCAAGCTCCAACTAAGGTTGTTGCGTCCCATCTTGAAGCAGGACCCAATAAGTCTCATACAACTGTTGGTCTGAGGTGTATAATATGAAGAGGGCAATTGATAGTTTGCTGTACAGTTGCATCTCCTATTTTGGTACCTGCTGTAAGTAAAAGTTAGAACAAATATGTAACCTCAGTACAAAGTGGGGTACTATAGAATGGATCCATTTGTACATTACAAGCAGTTTAACCAGTTCATCTACAGCACTGTAGTTCCTAACATTAGGACTTTATTAACGCAAACAGCAACTGAGTGTTCTTGTCCTACATAGCCTGTGTAAAGTACAGTTAAGCATGTTTAAAGGATTTTAAAATCAACTATTCTGGACATAGGACAATACACACCTAGACATGCCTCTTGCAATAATAGGATTTTGAAGTGTAAATAATCCTGCAATTCATTTTTCACGTATTTGTACACACAAGCATCTAAAAAAAGTTAAAATATCACTCAAACTTATTTGTATAGCATCCATCAAGCAAGCTTCTTAAGGAGATTTTAAAACATGATTATAGAGACAAGAAAAGATCACAAACAGGAATGGTCCTCCGACTGACTATTCCTGAACAGTGGCTCCTGAGACCAAAATGTTGAACTAGGCATCCCTCTGCCCATTTGTTACAGCAAAAAAATTCTTTGGATGAATCCCAAGATGTGTAGGATGTATTTTTTTTAAATCACCTATATTTGAGTCTGAAGATATTGTGACTTTCTTCTTAACCATATTGGAGATTGGAGAGGGCTCCAACCACTATCAGTTACAGCACCCAGCCAAGATTAGGTTAACATCAAGAAGGATTTTAAAAATATGGACCTAGTAGAATCTATTGGATGAAAAGGGTGTTTTATTTTGTTTAATATAAGGTGAGGAGCTGGCAGAGTTAGACGGTTTTATATTCAAACCTTAGCAGGTCAGGCGGAGATGGAAAGGAGGGCTTCACAGTTTGTAATGAAGAAGGACTATCACGATACACACCATGGTCTTGTCACCTACCCATTCTCCTGTTCTCCCAGGGCACCTACCTTACTGTACGTCACTACCGACAAGTTGTTCGAGTGACTGCTGGGGGAGAGATTTACAGAGTTTTGTGACAGTCCGTTCTGATCTTGTTCAATTTGGTCAGGAGCAGGCCCCCACGTGTTTTTGCTGATTGTGCCTAGCTCAGAACCCCCAGGGTCTTTTAGGTTGTTTTCATCTGGTTGCCTGTTCTTCTGCGGAGAGGCGAAGGGGTTAAAGTTTCCTTCTACCTTGCGATGTGGTTGTGTGTTGAATTCCGTTTCGAAGGATGACAGCTGCTGCGTTACTCCTAAAAGTCCTCCAGCCTCCACGCTGAGGATCACCCAGATGACATCTGTGAAAAGGGAAGGTCATTTAGGTCACTATTAGATGTAGCTTACAGGGGAACAGGGAGACCACTCCTGCCCCTGTAATACAATAATAATATTTTTAACTTACTTAGCATTTTTCAACCATACATTTTTACAGTGTTTTACAAGCATCAGGTAAGCCTAACACCTCTGAGAAGCATGCAAGTGTTCTGCCAAGTAAGCAACAGTATATGCTACTCAGGACAGCAGCCAAGTACTAAACAAAAAAAGTAATTATTGGCCTCACAACATAAAGGCCCACACACAGTCTAGTTTCCTATAGACTGAAAGCACCAAGAAAGTGAGACTTGCCCGAAGCCACAGAGCAAGAGTGAGTGGCAGACTGAAAGAACCCAGAAGACTACTCCAGTCCTTCACTTTTCTGCTGCAGAATACGCTCATTTACACCAGCTTCGCTTACATCTGTACGTGAGCAATGTGGCTGAGTTATGTAAATGAATTTCCTGATTTTTACATTAGTGGGTTACAAATTGTTGTAATAAGCCATAAATCTAGTGTGTCTGTTCAGTTCATGATTTTTAGTGTCTAGTAGAGTTATGAATTTAAACTCCAAGGGTCGACATTTGAAAGTGTTGTGCAGGTTTTCTTTGAGGAGGACTGAAAGGTCAGATATAGAGCAATAACTTTGTAAAAATCATTCACCCAGAGGTGATAGGGAGTTTTTCGTCTCATTTTCCTGTGTCAGTTCGAGCGTGTAGTGATGGTCCGGTTTCACCCACATAGTTGCTATTGGGGCATTTAGTGCACTGCATGAGGTATACCACATGGTTTGATTGGCACCCAACAAGGACCAAAATGGTGGAGCATCTCTGGTGGACCATCCTTGTTTGGTGAAGGTGATTTTAAGTGTGTTCAGGGGTATATACATGGATTGAACAAAGACACTGAATGTATGGCTTATTACAAAAATCTGTAATCCACCAACGACCCCTTTTTGTCCTATGACTGCAGAGGTGTTAACCGGCCACTATCTAGAATGGTCCCTTAGAAGAGTGGTGCCCAACTTATTACACAGGACAGCCACAGAAACCGAAGCACAACCTTGTGTGGGCCAAACAAATTCTACATATTTTAGTAAGATTAAAAGTCACCTGTCTTGATTTATATTTTAAATTCAGCTTGTTTCATATGTATTTTGATAGGTAGCTTTTGTGTACAGTATTGTTTATTTACACACTGGTGTAAACTAAAATGATGTAAGCATGAGACAAAACACTAATGAATCAGCCTCTAGTATATTGCGTTGAAGCAGGCTGCGGGCGTTATGAAATGCTCTGGTGGGCCATGTACGGCCCGCGAGCTGTCTGTTGGGCACCCCTGCCTTAGAATATGGGCTAACCACTTATGCTGAACAATCTGTTCCACCTTGCATTTAGCTGTGCAGCTCAGAGTATCTTTCCCAGATCTGAAGAAGAGCTGTGTGTGGATTGAAAGCTTGTCTCTCTCACCAACAGAAGTTGGTCCAATAAAAGATATTACCTCATCCACCTTGTCTCTCTAATCACCTGCTGGTTTTCCTCCAGATAAAGTTAATCTGCAAGCAGCCCAGCTGCTTGCAACACGCTGCCAGTGGCAGGCTAGGGAAAAGAGGACAGCAAGTTCCTTTACAGTTTAGTGTAGCTACCAGTGCTTCTCAAACAGCCCAACTCACAGCATGTCTCTTCTCATTTGCCACCATGCTTAGTTTGACAGGGTTTAGTTGCCTTTACTTTACTAAGCGAGACTAACGGGAGTCACTAGCGCCTTTTCTGCTCCCAATATTCCTTTTTCATAGCCATCTTAGTTCGTATATGAATGTATCAGCAATCAACACCCCCATATCCTACCCATGTTTAAATCCTTTATGAAACATCAATTAGGATACTGAAAAGGCACAAGAATTTAGACTAAATCCAATTACTTCTACAGAGGATTCTTCTCTCTTGGTTATACCAACATGGTCAGCAGCTTTCTGCAAAAAAGGTCTGGCAAGTAGTGAAGTGGTGCCATCTGCTGTTAATCTCTGGCAACTCCTCAAGTTTTATCCCAGCATTAGAGGACATGTCAATTCAGGAAAGGCCAGAATGATTAACATGTCATCATGCTTTTAAAGCTTTTTTCCCCTTCCCTATTTGAAAAGGAACTGCAGAGTTTGGACTTGAAACTTTCTGACATGCCCCCATCATTAGTGGAACATCTGTAGACTGAAAATTATAAGCAAAGTAGCCCAAAAATTATTTCCTTTACCCACCTGCCAAGCTCACAATTTAGCTATTTGACCTGAAAAAGCTAATGAAATAAATGCTCCCTAACACAACAGTTCCTCTATTGGAGAGGCCGGAGTCTGAGCCTGGCATGTTGTACCACATAGGTACAAGAGGCCATGTGTCCTAGAAGTTTCAGGCAATTCCTTGCTATGGTGGTTGGAAAATGCCTGAGACTTCAAATGATGTCACCCAGGGCCAAAACCTCGCTTGCGGAAGGTATGCCCTGGCGTGTGTCGAGTCCAGCACTGCTGCTATGAACTCTATCCACTGAACAGGGGAGAGCATTGATTTTCCCACGTTCAGGATAAGGCCCAGTTCATCGAACGTCTTTCTTATGAAGTCGACTTGTAGCGCCACTTGAGCCCTGGAGTGGCCCTTGATCAGCCAGTCTTCGAGGTACGGGAACACCTGTATCTGCCGCCTGCGCAGGAACACAGCCACAACTGCCATGCATTTGGTAAACACACGAGACACCACTGACAGGCCAAAGGGGAGGACTGTGAACTGGTAGTGTTTGCTTCTCACCACAAACCTGAGGTACCTTCTGTGGGACGGTGTAATTGCTATATGAAAGTACGCATCCTTCAAGTCAAGGGCGGCATACCAGTCCCCTGGATCCAAGGAGGGGATGATGGAGGCCAAAGAGGCCATGCGGAACCTTAGTTTCCTCATGAACTTGTTGAGCTCTTGCAGGTCTAGGATGGGCCTTAGCCCACCTTTGGCTTTTGGTATTAGGAAATACTGGGAACAGAAACCTTTGCCCCTCGGCTCCTGAGAAACCTCTTCCACTGCTCCTAGCGATAGGAGTGCACCTCCTGTATGAGGAGTTGCTCGTGAGAAGGGTCCCTGAAGAGGGACAGGGAAGGGTGATGGAAGGCCAGAGAATTGGAGGGAGTATCTCCTCTCTACTATGCAGAGCACCCAGCAGTCCAATGTGATATGGGCCCACACAGGGTAGAAAGGGAATAGTCAGGACGAGAAGGTAAGGCAGGTTTGATCCAGTCCAAGTTCTGGTGCGTCTTCCTTGTTCACACCTTTAAAAGGCCTGCTTCTGACCCCCTGCAGATCCTACAGCAATCCTTTTGACGGCTCTCCCCCAAACACGAAGTACGAGGATCACTTCTGGGCATACACTTGCCGCAGACCTTTGAAGCCAGCAGACCGCGGGATGCCCTAGCGCTGGGATAGTGCTGGAGGGGAAACCCCTCCAAAGGAAACTTAAGAACTAAGTAAAGTACCTACTAACTACTTAACACTAACTACATACAGACTGCCACATGCACTTATCACGACAAGAGCAAGGGGAAGTTCCAGCTAACCCTCACTAGCGGTAAGAAGGAACTGAAGGGGTGGCGAGTCAGTAGGGCCCTATATTGAGCATCATGATGGCGCCACTCCAGGGGGCGCCCGGACCGACCCGACAGATACTGCTAGGGGAAAAGTCTTCTGGCTGCCGTGCGCGCATGCACACCAGATTGGAATTGATATGAACAAGCACTCGAAGAACTAATCATTATTTCCATTACTCCAGCTTTCATTGCCTTTCCCAACCTAACTGGCACAATTTATTTGCAATTATTATGGCTTTGTATTAGCATTAATACAGTTTCATTCATGGGTTAAGAGTCTCAGGCATGTGACTTGCAAGTTAGGTAGCCAAAAAAATTCAGAAACTCAATGTCAGCCCAGTGGTTTAGGATCATCTGAATTCAAATTTGGAGCTCCCTAGATCATGAGGGGCTGGGAGAACTATGGAAGTAGCACATTTAGTCCCAGGAGAAGCACTGTGTGTTATTTTCAAAACACACCTCTGATTAATGCTCTTAAGTAGCACTGCACTCCAGAGGAAGCCATTTCCAATCCTCCTGAGGGAGGAATGATTGTTTTAATACCTTGGTGGTGGGTTTAGGGAGGGAGGGAAACAGAGGGATGGCAAAATTCTCCTCCCAATACACACACATTCAGAGCTAGTCAAAATTAGGTATGCTGCACGTATCTGGAAGGACACCTACTGGTAACAGTCAGCTCCATTACCACCATTTAAGAAAGGGAATTAAAGCACCATATTTCAAAAATCTAACAGGGAAGAAACTAATACATGAGTAGGGATCTAAAAATATGGTATATGCAGAAGATCACCACAGGAAAGCAAATTTCCTCTCTAGATGCCCCACACTTGGAGAAACAAAGACAAAAGAATGCTTCTACAAATAAAATTACTCCCACATTCCAAGCATTAGTAATTTTATGACCAACATCATCTGTAGTTATCCCAGCTAAAATAGGGGTAATCAAACCATGCATCAGAGCACCATCCCATCATGCAGAGGGATCAGGAAAGAATTCCACACACTGTGTACAACACTGAACTGGCTATAAATTATGGGGAGGGATCTTCCTTGGAAGCAAGTTATCACTCTTGATGGATCTGATTTGATATGACACCACTTATGTTTCTAACTGAGGAATGTAAATATCAGGAAGAGCTATAGATGAAAAAAGCAAATAAAGATGATTTATAACCTTTACCCTACACTTTACTTCTAATGACCTTTAAAAATAAAAATCACATGCTCTTACATAGCTTTGCAACAACAAAGACAACTGCAGTTATGTAGACATCCTGAACTGAAATAAAAGCAGGAGAGAAAGCTGTCCTCTCATTTCAGGTATAAATGACATCCCCTTCAAAGAAAGCTCGGATCTGCCGACAGTTCTCAATAAACATGTACATAATTATTTTGTCCCATGGTGGTAATATTTCTCATTTGACCCCATGCATTTAGGGCACTCTATTTGTCAAAAAAAAAAAAAAAAAAAATCATGAAAATCTTGTTAGCAATGTTCTTGCTAGCCGTTAGTATCAGTGAAAGTTCAGTGCAAATCTCAAAAGAGTGAAGTGCCCTGCAGAAGAGGACAGTGGGTTATTTATTATTTAGGTGAGGTCCAAACTATTTTAGGTACTTTCCAAATACAGGCCACGTTTTCCAAAACTAGGTGCATGAGGTTAGGGCTGGTTTACATTTAGGTTTTACTGGGCTAACTATTTTAGTTAAGGGTATGATTTTTTTTCACCCATTTATTTATTTTTACCAACTTAAGTTTTGCCAGTATAACTGCAACGTAGACCAGCCTTAAATCATAGAATCATAGGACTGGAATGGACTTTGAGAGGTCATCTAGTCCAGTCCCCTGCACTCATAGCAGGACTAAGTATTATCTAGACCATTCCTGACAGGCGTTTGTCTAACCTGCTCTTAAAAAATCTCCAGTGATGGAGATTCCACAACCTCCCTAGGCAATTTATTCCAGTGCTTAACAACCCTGACTGTTCGGAAGTTTTTCCTAATGTCCAACCTAAACCGCCCTTACTTGTCCTATCCTCAGAGGTAAGGAAAAACTTTTCTCCCTCCTCTTTCTAACAACCTTTTACATACTTGAAAACTGTTATGTTCTCCCTCAGTCTTCTCTTTTCCAGACTAAACAAACCCCATTTTTTCAATCTTCCCTCGTAGGTCATGTTTTCTAGACCTTTAATAATTTTTGTTTCTCTTCTCTGGACTCTCTCCAATTAGTCCAAATCCTTCCTGAAATATGGCGCTCAGAACTGGACACACTGCTCCAGTGGAGGCCTAATCAGCGCAGAGTAGAGCAGAAGAATTACTTCTCATGTCTTGCTTAAACACTCCGGCTAATACATCCCAGAATGATGTTTGCTTTTTTTGCAACAGGGGGTACACTGTTGACTCACTATGACCCCCAGATCCCTTTCCACAATACTCCTTCCTAGGCAGTCATTTCCCATTTTGTATGTGTGCAACTGATTGTTCCTTCCTAAATGGAGTACTTTGCATTTGTCCTTATTGAATTTCACCCTATTTACTTCAGATCATTTCTCCAGCTTGTCCAGATCATTTTGAATCAGTATAGTTGGGAACAGCCATGGGAATAGCCATGCAGTGTAAAATATTTCTATGCTACTATAACTGCACCCAAACTGGGGGAAGGAAGGCAGGATTTGAGCAACTTTAATTATACCAGTATAGTAGAATCAGCACAACTTCCTAGTTTAGATAAACCCTTAGACTTCAAAGTCCATACTTACGTGCCTAGCTAAACTGCATGATTTTCAAAAGTGCTGAGCACTGAACAGCTCTCACTTGAGCAAAAAAATTCCTGATATGGACAATTAGACTGTAAAATAGTCTTCCATGAAAACTGGTGAAAACTCTTTTGTTCCACTCTTAAAACTGAATTGGAAAAAACCTGAAGGATCAAGTAGAGAGAACAGTCCAGCATTGGTCCCAAGGGAATAATCTAGATCAACTCATAGGTCTTCACCATTTCATTTTCTATGTTTAGTTTCTTGGATCTGATAGATCTGCATCCTCCTACTCCTAGTACAAACATGGGGAATGCAATCTGAATGTACTTCAGGATTAACATACTGGCCTTCTGGGATGCTGAAGACAGCACTTATCACAGGACATATACCAAGGACCATCACAATAAAATGCCCAGTGCTCCTCACACCTTGCCAGAGGGAGGTGCTGTATTGGCAGCTATTCCATTAAAACACACAGGAATAAAAATTACAGTACCTCTAGATTATCATTTGGATATTAGGAGGGTGACTGGGATACCAGCAAGTATCTGGCCAACAGCAATACAGGGATGAAGACTCCTACCTTGTGTGCTTTGGGAGCATTACAAATAAGAGAGAACTGCAAAGAGAGGAATAACTTACCTCCATAATAGAGTCCTGTAGCAGTGCACATGCGCCACTGTCCCTGATACATTCCCGCTGTGCTGGGGCTGCACATCTGAACGCTGACATCTGCAATCTCCTGGGGCTCTAGCGACCTGACCATCACCATGTTTACATGGCCAAACTGGTCTCCCCCGACGTACTTAAGACAAACCCCTGGGGGCCACGCCTCTGTCCCTGATTGAGCAGAAAAAGGTATTAAAGTGTCAGTGACAATGCAACTGTAGCGACTTCGCATCCGCTTCTTTTCTGGCAAGTGCCTGCTCGAGTAGATAAACATTTTATTAAATTAGTTACACTGCTCTGTTAAACAGTCAAGGAGATGTCAAGTTGGCTAACAGATACCAACCTAGTCAAATTTTCTAGCTCTCATACAACAGCAAGGGGAGAGAAAGATTTTCACACAAAACATAACTGTTCCAGCACGTGACCAACTGAAAGGAAAGACCTGTAGAATATGCACAAGTCCTTTAAAAATTGAGAAACCCAGAGCAGTAGTTTAGCAAAGTCCAACAGTAATCAACATATCTGAGTGATACCTGTGATGACACATTCAGCTGCACGTTAGCCACATTGGGGACACATATAGCACTCAATGAAGATGACCAGCTAGTTTTTCATCTTAATTTTACTGTTTTCGTCCCCCCCCATTGCATAACTGAAAATATTTTAATAGGAAACACACAAGACATTTTCCTTCAGGGGGGCATGTTCCTTTTTCAGTTTGTTGGCAATCTTGGGAAGAGCAAATGCTTTTGTGCTCCCTGTTTGTAAATTTGTGAACTAGAAATAACATCTTCTATATTGTTTTATTTCTCCTTCCTGCAGTGAGCCCCTCCCAGCTCCATGATGGTGTGGCTGAACTCTGACAGCGTATACTGAGATTCAAGTTTAGATTGACGTTCTAGGGACTGATGTTGTATAGCATGAAGGAATGGCGCAAAGTGGTATTTGGTGCACATGCAACAGCTCATTTGAGGGCAGATGCAGCAGTTTCATGCAACGGCAAAAGAGGAGGGGATGGTGAGATGGAAAAACTGAGGAGAATGGCTTTGAAAGAGTTGTAGAGCATGGCTCCAGTGGGTGTGTGAAGATCAGTGTCAACAGGGCATTTGGATACTCTCTTGCTCTGAGAATGTGATATGAGCTGGACTGAGAAATTTGGTCTTTGGGCTGTAGGGATTGCATTCTGCCTGCTCTAAGTTAATGGGAGCGGTTTAGGGAAGTCCATGGGCTGCAGAGAAACTTGGACAGACATATATGATTATTGCAAGCCTATGCTGAGATGGCAACTCTGGATAGGTATTAGTGACCAAGGGACATCTTGTAGGAGCATTCCTTGAGAGAGACTCTTTCATAAAGTCGGCTATTCTCTGGAGGTACTGCAGCAAGGGCATGGCAGTGAATCATGATTTGTGGGGTTTGGACCTAGAGAGAAAACCATCAACTGAGGAAGTATCAGTGCGGGATAGTTGGAATGGGATCAGGGCAGCTATCTTTGGATCCAGCTACAGTTAGAAACAGCACGAAGGTTGGGGATCCTTGGAAAAGGAAGATCTGAGTGGTTAGCAGGCCTTATGCTGTGATGTGTGGGAGTTATGGAGTGTGACGACTTTTGTGTGAAAGGGTGTGCAGCCTGGCAACATGGTTTTGGTTTAAATAATGTGTGATTTTTATCAGTTTTAATGGCTTCAAGTTTGCCATGTGCTTAGAGTGCTATAGCTGATAAGCGCCATTAAAACAAAATGAGGATTGTGTCATTCTATTTCAGTACATGCATTTCTCAGGAGATGACAGATTGCAGTAACTGTCCAAAGGAGCTTGCAGCAGTTAGAGGTAGACTGGGAGATGAAAGTAAGTCTGTTGAATCGGGGTGATTCTTTAGTGCTATTATACAAGATTGGCTAGCCTGCAAAAATACTATCACACTGCAGGAGGACTGGACCTTAGTTTTTGATAACAGGCAAAAAGCCCCTGCCTGAAACCAGTTTATTCATAAACAGAACTACATGCTTACAGAACTCTAATTGACCTGTTCAACCAACTAAGTACACAACAGCTCTGCTCTCTGCATCAGACAGAATGCAGCTCTGCCACACCAAATCCCTCAAAGCGATGCCTCGCTCTGTTTTTTTCATGTTTTAGAACTGAAGTCATTTAATCAAGGGTTGCTGCAGGATCATTAAGAATCTTGGCTTCACTTCAGCATCTACCTAGCAAGATCTAATCTTGAACATTCCAGTCCTTGGATATTAAATATTAATTAAAATATTTTTTAAATGTAAGACACTGGCCTAATCTGCACAGTAACACCACCACCACAAAAACCTGGATTGAAGCTAAACCAAGTTGTAACAGTGTAATCTGGCCTTTGTGGATAAGGCGAAGTATTGTTATAGCCAAAATTTACAAAATAAAGTAATGCTTTAGCCCTGGTGGAAGCCAAAACAAAGTTTGGTTTTGACAGGAAGCCACAAAAACCAAGGAATTTTAAGTTGAAACTGTTTCCTTCAACTCCCTACCCACATCCTACAAGACCCAAGGACTTTAGGAAGGGAAACAAATTTTAAAGACAACATAAAATTCACTGTATCTAACAATTAATCTAGAAAAAAAAATTTAAGAAACTGAAAAAAGACGGTTACTCACCGTTGTAACTGTTGTTCTTCGAGATGTGTTGCTCATATCCATTCCAGTTAGGTGTGCGCGCGCCGCGTGCACGATCGTCGGAAGATTTTTGCCCTAGCAACCCCGGTGGGTCGGCTGTGGAGCCCCCTAGAGTGGCGCCGTTATGGCGCTGGATATATACCCCAGCCGACCCAGCGCCCCCTCAGTTCCTTCTTGCCGGCTACTCCGACAGTGGGGAAGGGGGGCGGGTTTGGAATGGATATGAGCAACACATCTCGAAGAACAACAGTTACAACGGTGAGTAACCGTCTTTTCTTCTTCGAGTGCTTGCTCATATCCATTCCAGTTAGGTGACTCCCAAGCCCCACCTAGGTGGCGGGGTCGGAGTGAGACATTGCTGTGTGCAGAACCGCTGACCCGAAAGCAGCATCGTCTCTGGATTGTTGCACCAGCGCATAGTGAGTAGCAAATGTGTGAACCGATGACCACACTGCAGCTCTACAAATGTCCTGGATCGGTACTTGAGCCAGGAAGGCAGTCGAGGAGGCCTGGGCCCTCGTGGAATGAGCAGTGAGGCGTGGCGTCGGTACACCGGCCAGGTCGTAGCAAGCACGAATGCAGGACATAATCCAAGAGGACAGGCACTGTGAAGAGACCGGTGAGCCTTTCATCCGGTCGGCCACTGCAACGAAGAGTTGCGTTGTCTTCCTAAATGGCTTTGTACGGTCGATATAGAAAGCCAGGGCCCTGCGAACGTCTAAGGAATGCAAACGCTGGTCTTGACGAGTAGCGTGCGGCTTCGGATGGAAGACTGGAAGGAATATGTCCTGATTAATGTGAAAAGGTGACACCACCTTCGGAAGAAAGGCAGGATGGGGGCGAAGCTGCACCTTGTCCTTGTGGAACACCGTGTAAGGGGGCTCGGATGTCAGCGCCCTGAGTTCAGAGACGCGTCGTGCTGAGGTGATGGCCACGAGGAAGGCTGTCTTCCAGGATAAGTACAGGAGTGAGCAGGTCGCCAATGGTTCAAACGGAGGCCCTGTGAGCCTGGAGAGCACGAGGTTGAGGTCCCACGTCGGAACCGGCTGTCGTTGCTGTGGGTACAGTCGGTCTAAGCCCTTGAGGAATCTAACGACCATCGGGTTAGAGAAGACCGAGGACGTGAGTTCTCCTGGGTGGAAAGCGGAAATAGCGGCGAGGTGAACCTTGATTGAGGATGTCGCCAAGCCTTGCTGTCTTAAGGACAGGAGGTATTCCAGTATGCAGGGGATAGGTGCCTGCAAGGGAGAAGTAGCACGTTGCTCGCACCAACAGGAGAACCGCTTCCACTTGGCTAGATAAGTGGTTCGCGTAGAGGGCTTTCGACTTCCCAGCAGAACCTGCTGGACGGCCTGCGAGCACTGCCGCTCTGTCCGACTCAACCATGGAGCATCCACGCCGTGAGGTGGAGGGACTGTAGGTCGGGGTGACACAACCGGCCGTGGTCCTGGGAGATGAGGTCCCGACTCAAGGGGAGCGTGATCGGCGTTCGTACCGAAAGATCCAGCAGTGTGGAGTACCAGTGTTGCCTCGGCCAGGCGGGGGCGACTAGAATCACCCGTGCATGATCCCTGCGGATCTTGAGCAGTACCTTGTGGACCAGCGGAAATGGAGGGAAGGCGTAGAACAGGTGGTCCTTCCATGTTAGAAGGAAGGCGTCTGACTGAGAGCCCGGGGCTCGTCCGTGCAGGGAGCAGAATACCTGGCACTTCCTGTTGGCCCGAGATGCAAAGAGGTCGATCTGGGGAAATCCCCACCTCTGGAAGACGGAATAGATGACGTCCGGGCGAATTGACCACTCGTGTGTCTGGAAGGACCTGCTGAGACGGTCCGCCAGCGTATTCTGGACTCCAGGAAGGAAGGATGCCGTAAGATGTATCGAGTGGGCGATGCAGAAGTCCCACAGGCGAATGGCCTCTTGACATAGGAGCGATGAGTGGGCTCCGCCTTGCTTGTTGATGTAGAACATTGCCGTGGTGTTGTCGGTGAGAACCAACACGCAACGGCCCTGTAGGAAGTTGAGGAACGTCTGGCAAGCTAGGCGCACCGCCATCAGCTCTCTGACGTTGATGTGGAGGGCTAGTTGGGCCACGGACCAGAGGCCCTGGGTATGGTGCTCTCCGAGGTGAGCGCCCCAACCTAGAGATGAAGCATCCGTGACTAGGTGGAGGGAGGGTTGTGGGTCGTGAAAGGGTACTCCTGCACAGACCACCGTACGATCCGTCCACCAGGTGAGGGAGGCCCGGACCGAGGCCGGAACCGTGACCACCATATTCAGGTCGTCTCGATGAGGACGGTAGACCGATGACAGCCAAGCCTGCAGTGGGCGAAGTCGTAGCCTGGCGTGCCTGGTCACGTACGTGCACGAGGCCATGTGGCCCAATAGGGCAAGGCAAGTCCTTACGGTGGTGATTGGAAAAGTCCTGAGTCCTTGAATGACGCTTAGGATGGTCTGAAAGCGGCTGTCGGGGAGGATAGCTCGGGCGCGTCTGGAGTCCAGAACTGCCCCG